GGTCAAACATGTCTTGTAGGTATGAGACTATATTAGGTACCTAGGTAGATAGCAAGCAATTCACAAGCCTAACTCTTCACTGAAACGTAATGCGCGTATCTTGTGAAGGGAGGACGGCTTGGTAGGTCAATTACTACAGGCGTGGCCTAGGGTCTGTCGTTGACCCTGGTGTCTCCTATTCAGCATACTCATACATATCCTTTACATCCTGTCCCTCTTCCTTGACGATGCGCATCATATTCCGCTGCATCGCATCGATGATGCCCTGGTCATTGATCGCGTCAACCGTGATCAAAGCCCACTTTTGTTCCATCGCTTCTATGGCTTGCGTCGAGGAGTTATCTTGAATCTCCGAGACATCGCCTGTTTCGGAGGAAATATCATTTCTTAGCCAAACCCACACGTATTCGATCGGGTTGATGTAGGATGACGTTCGGTTTCTTGTCTTCATAGCAGCGCCTCCCGAAGCGACCGCAATAACCGCACCCCCAGCCGAGACTACGCCGTTGACAACGGCTGCTCCGTACCCGCCCATCGCGGCACTCTGCAAGGTTGAGAATAGGCTCGGCGCCACAACACTGCCAATACCGCTCTGGATCCCAGATGCTATCGAAACTGTAACAAGCAAAGTCTAAGTTAGTATTATAAACTAGGTAGATATTGGTTCATATGCGGGAGTGTAGTAGACGTGATGAAAAATATTTGTACGTTTTGCAATCCCATCAGCTGTAAAGCCTAGAGCTGTCAAAACTGGCGCCGCGGCAGCTGCCGGCGCTAATGCTACCCTAGTGCCTACGCCTGCAACCCCGTATAATGCAGCCTTGCCTGGGTTTTCTCGAGCCCAGGCATATGTACGTGATGCGAAGGAATTAAACGTAGGCATATTGGCGAAAGTCTGAATAAAATTGCCGTTTTTTTGTGATGGCTCCTACGTGTTGGTGGTTACATAAATGGAGGTAGAAATCAAGGAAACAGCCGTAGCCTGCAGCGCAGCTGCTAGAATGGACTTATCATATTGATGAGTAGCGAGTGTCATCTCTACAACGGCCCGACCCCTGACTCACTATGTTTCATATGATTGCCTACCTCCTATGCCGTACCCGCCGTGTTGTCGTACATGGCCTGCGGGGGGGGGGGGGGGGTACTTACACTTACAGATGACCTAGGTACCCATGATAAAGAGTAGGCTTTTTTCGTACAACTTCCAAATTTCGCATTGGTTGGTATCATTTACCCCCGTCGCGCCAAGATCATTGACTAGAGCTCGACTTGATGCTGGGCGTTTTGCCGCCTAACCAACCAGTAGCCTCCAAGACCAAACATAAGAACCCTGCATCGTGATTTTAAAAGCAGCCCGAAGTCCGCTAAGACCAGCTCCGATTATGAGGACGTCTGACTTCGTCTTGGAAGGCATCGCGATAGTAAGGTTCCAGTTAATGAAGATGACAGATCTAATGACAGTAATTATCTCAAGGGTCGTCCAGCGCGGAAAGCGATGATCACGGTGTGGCATGTAGGTCGGGCAGTTGCCTTCTTGACAGGTCTTATCTCGTGAAGCCTCGTCACCGCCACCCCTTGATGCACATGCAGCTTCAATATTGTACGTTGTAGCTTTAGCTGGCAGTGTTGTCTGTTTCTCTTACCTTACAGATCACTCTCACAAAACCGCACCAGAGCCATCACATAATAGCCCGAGATACCACAACCAAACAGATGGATGATGGACAGAAATGGCCGTCTTAGGGCCACGTGACATCTTTATACTTGGATGCAACCCAGTCGATTCCGGTTTAATACTTTTACATTTTAGTCCAGTTCCCCTTTTTTGGCCCCCAAACCTTGAATAGCAAAACAAACACCCCCATGATTCGCTACGCCTGTTGCTCCTGCTGATGCAATCCCATGTGGTAAGAGTGAATAATACTGTCGGTGTCATCGATGGCCAATGGCCGAATGTCGGCCATCTGCTTGATCTTGGCAGTTCTTTTCTCCCAGTCAGCAATTTTCGCCCCGCCGTGTGGCCACGTAAAGGGGTATCTCGAGAGCGGCAAACGTACACTTCCTTGACCTGATCATCCGTCATCTTTAGTCCTAATTGATCGCAGCGCGCGCGTATCGCATTCCAACCAGTAATTCTTGAGTTGATTGAGATGTAGCGGGTCACTGCGGGACAGTTAGCATTAGAGGATGAGTAGTTGAGGGTATGTGAATGGCCTACGTCCAAACAGGGCGGGGTCGATGATCTCGTAGGTTGATGGGTTCGCCAGAATAGCTGCAACTGTTAGTGCTAGAACTTAAATATGGCATGATATTTCAATTGTAGCCTGACTTACCCTTGGCGTGGATACCAGCCTTGTGCGTGCTTTTCTAAGGTTAGCTAAGAACCCGATAAAGAGCCAGATTGAACATACAAAGCGCAAAACCCGGTGATGGGGTTGTTGAACTAAAGAACGAATTAGACCACTGATTGGTATATCAATATTTCGGCAGATTTGTCTCACTGGGATGTTGACCTGGACGGCGGATGCGACCAGTTCCTCAACCTCCTTGAGCGCCTTGAGGTTATACTTTTTGGTAACGTATTCAGGAGCAGTGACGACCATACGGGCCATTAGGGCGCCACTATTCTCCACCATTAGTCAATCTCCTAGCCGTGACTGTTGTGAAGACCTACAGTGGAGTAATGCCATTACGCTCACCAATTCCCAGAACACCTAGGCACACCAAGTTAGACATTAGACATAATCTAGAAATAACGGCGATGCTCACTGGTGTCAATGTGCGTTGCTCCAGCCTCGAGTGCGGAGTGAGCGTTGGCAACAGCGCAGCCGGTATCATCGTGGAAGTGTGTTTCTATACGGTATTAGTAGGTAAGGGGTAGAAGACAAAACTAAGGAGGCTTGCCGATATCACAGCCCACGACGCCTGGATCGAAGATTAGCCTTTTTATCAACAGGTTTTGATAGGGTCACCTACCTCGCAGCGTTCGGATTAGATCGTAGACCATTCGGGGGGTGGCGCCTCCAACAGTATCTGCAACACCGCTACTTTTCGTCAGTTGCCCGCCCATGTAAAATCCCGATTCCAAAGGACTCACACTCGGTTAACACCAGCCTTATCGACCGCCTTATAGAGAGTAAGAAGGTCGACAAGGTCACTTCGGAATGAGTCCTCCGACGAAAAGCGGACCTCAACACCCTGGCTATTATTATATGAGCTTCTAAATTTCACCATGAACGGTAAGCATAGGGTCAATACATACCTCTTGACATATTCAATCACTTCAAGAGCAAGCTTCTGAATCATCTCTATGCTCTTTCCATGACTGTACTGTCGCAAAAAGCTAGAAGTACCGATAACAAGATCGACGCCATCTACACCACACTCAACGGCCTTCTTAGCGTCTTCCATGTTGCATCGTACGTCTGTCCATAGTTAGAAAGAAGAGTGTTCGTTGTAGTCGCATCTATAGTGGAGCACATACGAGTGAGAATCTTGGCCTGTGCTATGTGTTAGTCATGACGTCTAGTTTAACCACCAGCCAAAATTGAGCCGTACCTTCAGCCCAAGCCCGCAAATAGTCTTGCAATCCTCGTATGATTGAGGAGACGAGACGGGACTTGTAAGTTCTATATAATCGCAACCGAACTCATCACTGTGGTAATATTAGCATCGCTACGATATCGTACTAGGTGGTCGTCGAGTAAGGAAAGATGAAGGAAATCCAGAACAAGAGGATCGAGGGGCAATTTGGCCTTACAGAGCTTTTGCGCTGTCACACAAAGTCAGTATTTGCTTTACGATGTCCAAGGGGGACGGGGTGTACTTGCATGCGGACCTTGATGTCCGTGTCGAAGAAAGCATTAGCGAACTGCTCGCCCTCGCGGAGAGTAGACTCGATAATCTTGAATCGATTGACATTTGAGATGAAGTCGTTCACATTCTGATATGGGGAGCTCTTTGGGGTGCCCTGAACTGGGTGCGAGCCATTCGACACGGGGCCGTCTACGGGGGCGTCGGTACCGCACATGATTGCGCTTTCGATCTATATCGGCTTCGATAGGCAAATGGGAGGACTGGTGATGCAATTGCAATTGTGAGGAGGGTTCTTTCTGGGAAAAGGTGGACGAAATTTTTGAAGAACCTTCTTCCCCCGCAATTCGGAAGCTGGAAGCCTGAGTCACCTACTAATTTGCCTGGTGGGGTTCCGGGCGGGGTGCCCTCTAACCGCCAACGTCCTTATAGTGGCAAGTACTACTGCTTACCCACCTGCCTACCTACATAATATAGGATGTAGGTATGTTCTCATACCGTGTATCTATACCGTATGCTCGGTCGTATGTGTTCAGCCGTTCGTGGGGCGGCCAATTATAGCATACCTCTCATACCTATGGAATAAGGCTGGCTCTAACGATGACGCATTTTAAAAGCTGAGTTTCCAGAGCTATTCTCCGAAACCGGTAGGAGTAGCACTGCAGGGGCAAAAGGGAGAATAATAAACGATGATTATCATTCACGAAAAATTGTGCGAAACAGGGCAATTGACTTATCTCACTTCAGGTAATCCACGCCGCTTGAGAAGAGATTTGGAGTAAAAGTGTGTGAAAGGATCAGGATCAGGATGCTTCGCAAATGGGTTGTGAGAATTCGGTGGGCCCATCTAGCCGTGGGAATAAGCTACATTTGTTTATGAGAAATGTATTGAAGATCAACCGAAAGGATTGAGCATAGAATGAACACACATAGCATCCGTAGAAGTCCCCAAGAGCCGAGCTGGGTTGGTATGCGCTCCGCAGGGCGAATGCCACCTCCAGTTTGATAATAAAAATTGAAAAGATAGAACAGTTTAAATAAGTCATTACATAGGTCCACGTCGCGAAGGTTCTTAGAAGCTTGATCCTTGTGGTTGAAGTGGCTGCTGTGTTAAGGTAGCTAAGTTACTTAGATGGATCTACGCAGCCGAACTTTCAACAGATTACAGCAGCTGTTGTAATTGAACATCCTCGGTGGCGCAATTGGCTAGCGCGTCTGACTGTTACTATCTTATCTGATAGTCATCAGGAGGTTGAAAGTTCGAGCCTTTCCCGGGGAGTTCTGATTTTTTCGCATCGCAATTCCTTGCGGCAAATATTTTTCCTCTACCCTTTCTAGCACAACGTAAAATATCATTTTTTCGGTATCGTCCGGCAAGATGCTAACGGATCGGTAGCACGTAATCACAATATAGGTCTTAATATCAACAACATACTGCGTGTGCGACAAGTCACGGACCCTCAAGTTGTAGTTGTAGCACGCTGCCTTCTGAGCTCTGAGAAAACCACAAGGGTATCCAAGAAAGAGGTGGTCTCTTTAACGAGGCCGCCAGAGCTCATGATCACGCCCGCCCCCACCTTGGACGACAGAGACATTGGCGTTCACACTCCTCCACCACCACCACCGATTTCAAGTGGTGTGGCGAAGTTGAGGTCAACGAGGACTCTTGCCCCAGATGCCAGCATCAAGGGCTGCTTCGTCAAGACCGGTGCTGTAACCATCGGAGCAGGAATCTCGTCGGTCCACATCGGCACTGTGATTGGCACGAAGCTGTGCTCGGGACTCATGAAGTCAAGGTGTTGAAGCGATCTTAGTTCCCCTCTTGGATACCGAGCTTCATGAGGAGGAACCACCCGTTCCCTAAGTAATATTCGGCAACACGACGAAACCACTATCGGCTTTACATGTCCTCATGTAAGCTCATGACGAGCGCTCTATCCGCTTTTGCCCACCTATTAACATCCCGAAATGCGTACCTACTCCTACTTCGTTCCTCGGCAAGAAGGTTTGGAAAACTAACGACTCGCAGTTTTATAACCCCTCGTGGCGTACCACTCCCAAACCCGGCGCCACAGACTACACCGACGCCCGCTGGGAGTTTCAAACTTGCCTTAACTCGGGATACAGAGTTGGCTTTTCGAGTTACACCCTACGATTCGTGTAACGATCATTACCTAAGCTATGTACCACATGATACGAGACGCTGTAGTAAGTATGTTGATTAACATATCAGTAATAGACACGGAGATGTCTAGATTCAAATTGATGTCATTGGTCTATTCTATTAGCTAGGATATAGGTGCCCTTGGTAATGCAGGAGTTGGCAAGCGGAAAAGCTTCTAAAGTACATAGCAGCGCTGCAGTTGAAACTCAGCATTGGCCAAGGCAAGTACAGCAAGCCCTGTGGGATCGACTATTATACATAAGACGATCTTTAAGCGGTCAGAGTCAGTGAATTCCCATTCTTTCTAGCTGCTGTGTGAGGTCCATCATCTCGCTCGATTCTGCCTTCAGGGTTACCAATTGATTAATGATGCTAGCTACCAGCTCAGAAGGAGCTCGACCAGTTACTACCTCGGCATTGGATGTGAGCAGTTACTCATCTACCTCAGTGGCGAAGACCATTTCAATGAATTGTGCAATTTACTACATACGCCTAGTTAATGCTCTCAACAGTCTACAGAGGGTTGTCGTCTTGTCGAGAATGAACATGAACTCCATGATGTCGCAAGTTACTCTATATGATAAATGAACACAGCATTTGACTAAAACACGAAGCAGTACTATGCGTGTTTAGCATTTTTATATTCCACGATTGTTTTATTGCTCATCTAACAGCGATTGAGTAGGTACCTGAAGCGGTGCTGGGCGACCCATAAATAGGTGCTTATCCTCTGAATTCGGGGCCCGCGGCAATTACCCAGCGCTGAGTTATAGGTACCTCTTATCAGCTTATGATGATCCTTACATCCTACTGTACTCAGGATTCGAATGGCGTTGTAATGCGTCCTCAGTAAGTGACAACTGACTCCGTTTATGTATCTCATCCTGTCCTTACCCTATTTCAAAATGTCCGTCGTAATAAATGGCAAACCTGTATATTATTAGCTTATCCACATGCGACCATGTAACTGCACAAATATGACTACTCCCCACCGTGGCATTTTCTTCCTGTAGCTAGAGGGATGGGATTACACCTGCTTCGGCAATATCCTTGGTCAATGAGAAAAGACAAGTAGTGATCGTAGGTCTCGCACCACTGATTTCACTTTCAAGGTGGCACGATGATAGCGGAATTGTACCTCAAACCAAAGGTTTCTGGAAGGTCTCAGGAACGCGACTAGCCGCAGAGCCAGCTCACTTTCCTTGACAACTCAGGTCAAAATGTCGATCTACTCTGCCAACGAACACGACCAATTACCGACCACATGCTGTTCAAGAAACTTGTGAGTTGCAAGGTTGGTGTTGCCCGAAATGATGACCTCCAAGACGCGGAAACGACCATTATCTTGCTATAGAGGTAGATGACTCTCAATGCATGCGGAGCCTTCAAAGAACTTTCAATACAGTATGATGAGCTCGTAGGACAGCCTCTCAAGATGCCCACCAAGGTGTTTACTGCGACTTCGAACGCTGGAGGCCCATGCAGCGTGAAAAGACGCGCTGCCTTATACAGTAATAATATTTCATCACGCAGCATCTCCAGTTGCTTGTTAAGTTCATCGATGTCTTTAGGTATAATATCTCTGTGTATCGCAACACCATGTCATTTGCAACTTTGAGGGGACATCTAACCAGTTTCTCTTAACAGATATATATATATATATAAATTTAACACTGTAAGAGATAATTTCACGTTGAGTTCCGTATCCCATACCCCATATGACCCCTTGCCTTTTCTATCCAAATGAAATCTATTTTCATTCAGTGATTGGTTCGTGCAAAACCATTCCACCCATCAAATTTATGATGGTACCTATATCAGTTATCGTTAACGTGTGAGTCTGCGCGGGCCAGTCTAGGACTCTTACATTACCATAGGGAACCATGAAAAATCATTTGCTGTTCTGGATGCCAGGTCGGAATCGGCTTTACCTACCTACCTAGGTACCTACCTGGTTTAAAACATACATGACTCCGTATGTCTTCACTGGGTCTCCTTTGGAGTCCTTGACTGGTTTCCTATTCTCATCTGCTGCCTGCTGATCTGGCAAGCCACCGCGAGGATAGGAGCGGTAGAAATCGGCCCTGTGGAAAGAAGCAAGGTTAAGGTATACAAAGAATAACAAGGCATACCAGACTCTCCATTCATACGGCTAATGATAGAAGATATGAGAGTTGCTGTCACCAGAGCTGAACCCCTGTACAGGACTGAGCAGTCCAGGGGTATTCCTTTTGAATGTGATATAGCTAAGGTTCCTTTTTGTTTACAATCGATCGTAAAGAGCCTGGGGACTAATAGTCCCTGATATTGACATGATTTCCAAGGCCCGCTTCCACTGCATCGAAGTCTTGTAGTAACTACTTTGAAGGCCTCCAGCAATGCCTCACCCGCGCCAACAGCTGTCTCTTGTGACCGAAAGACAGTGGACGACGTCGGGTCCAACAATAGGCCTAAGGATTACCCGAAGAATGCCTAACAAGCCGGTGCGTACCGGCGGATACTCCACGAGCAATTATTCCTGGTTCGACACAGATTAGTACGTATCTCGAGTGAGATGAAGAACAGGTAGTTAGCAACAGTATAATGGCTACTAAGTGATGATATATGTAGTATTGACCCTGATACCAAACTTCTCGAGTATTGTGATCGATCGGCGAGAGGGGGTTACGTCAGAAGTATAGTAAAAGTGGCAAAGGTCTCCAGAACTCGGACGGTAAGGTCTGGTATGAGGTCGTGCCGTCCCCAGAAGAAAGGCTGCAAGCCGATCAAGGACTACAAGCTCCCATCCAACCAGGACTGCGCGAATCGATGGGATAGGGTCATCAACCAACGTAAGCCAATTATGTCTACTGCCCAAGGAAAGTTGGGGAAGATATGGCTAACTCTTGTTTCTCACTCAATAGGCACGAAGCATCATGGGATTTCTTGCATCTATAGGGAGGAAACTGATAACAATTACTGGGAATGGAGGACCTCAGATCGTCCATCAACGTGGTCGAATACCATGGTCGTAACTATATGTCACGGCGTATATAGTAGGGGCACGGAAGGATGTGATGTGACTTAAACTGAAGGCAGATGCAGATTAACATGTTAAATCATACTTGAAAAATACCATTCGTCCAATTATGCGATATGTTGGCGATCTTGTTCCTGGTGTGGGCAATATCAGGAAAAAGTTTTGGTTGCGATGTGGTGGCAGATCCACACGAGCCCTACACAAACAGTACAACAAAATAGTGTACAAGTTTGGAGAAAAGGGGTAAATGGTAAGGTAAGGGGTAAGGCGTAAAGTGTAAAAATTGCAACGACGCAGGCCTGATTCGAACAGACGCTCCCGAAGGAACAAGATTAGCTTTTCAGAAGAAGTATTCTAGTCTTGCGCATTAGACCACTCTGCCACTGCGCCCTTTCGGTGTTGCTCGTGGCGGTATGGTCGTGGATGCAATTTGCACTATTTGAAGCCTTCAGTTGGCTGTGCTAGTCGGTGGGGTGTTTGTCGCATCATAGCTAGCGTGATAAATCTCTTTAATCTTGAGTGAATTAGATGGAATTGAGAGCGGTATTTCGAACAAGACACAAGTCACGGAGTTAACGGTTGAGACGCGCAGATGGTGTGGGGTTGCACTTAAATTTTCAGGGCTGATGCATTTATCGCGAGATTTGAGTCACTTTGTGGGAGGGATTAGGGATTAGAGAGACTGACGAGATATCAATCCCTTCAATATTATCAATATGCCTCATCATACCTACTTATAGTCAGGATATCAGCATCTGCATACCAGCCTGAGAAATACATCCCCACGTGGTCAATCTCACTAAAAAGCCTCAAAACCCAGACTCAATCCCGAGTTACTTGGGCTGATAATAGCGCTTAGCTCCTTTCGACTCTGACCCTGGTTCCGTGACAGATGGTTCAGTGATAGATCTGTAATTGATTAGGTAATTCACGGGAATGGCCAGCACACTTGCATGGGGTCCAATTGCAAACTGAAGAACGAAGAAACGTAAGGATAAAGAAGAAGTTTGCTAGTCGCTGGCAAGAGTGGATTTATATTAGTAACGTGAAGAGAGTTATACTCTGCATGCATGATAGCGTCGAGCGTGTCGGGCAG